TTTGTACTTACATTTTTATTAATATTATTTTTCTGGGTTTTAATTATTTTACAGCTTTCTTTAAATTTTCTCTTATACCAATTACTTTCTCTGTGTAAAAGTTTTACCCTGTTTTTATCTATATTACAATTATGCATTGTGAAATGGTCATAAAAAGCTGAATTAATTCTTTTATACTTTAAGTCGGCAATGTGTTCTTTTAATCTTGTTTCTTCTGTCCTTTTCGTTTCGCCTGTATAATTTTTTGGATATTCACGTGTACTGTACATGGTATTGCATATACTACGTTCATTGTGTTATATTTATATTCTAATTTGTTATTTATTGCAGGCTTAATTTTGTGTATTTTTTACAATTTTTCATAAGTTGGGACAAGTTTCATGTTTATTTTATTAAAGTCTTTGTTTATTTGTTCAGTTCATTTGAAAGACGTGTGTTAAGTATATTTTCATCATAACTCTTTCTCCATAAGCGTGCAGCGACCACTAGATAACATTTTTGTACGCCCGTGCAGAAAACAGCTACGAAGCAAGTTTGCCACTTCTCGCGCTTCCAACGAAGAAAATGGCTGATTTATTAGATGAATGACAACAGAATGACAGATAATAAATTTCAGGATGGACAATTGTAAATTACTTACCAGCAGTTTATAATAAATTTAAATTTGATTTTGTACGAGACTTTTTCAACGAAAACACCAAAAATCTTTGTGCTTTCAACATCAGATTGCATAAGAATGCTGCCAAGCAGGGGCCGAATGGATAAAATGGAATAAGTAGCTCTTCGCCTGCCGATCGTCATTTCCAGACGAACGACAACCCAGAACTCACTACGTGGATGTGGTTGCTTCAGAGTTCCACCAAGAGTTGGAATCTCCTTATTATTAACTTTTAAGCTTTTAAATAAAGTTTAGAATTTTTAGACTCTACATATTTTACAAATACCTTATTTGTCTTGAAATCGACAATTTTTTTTACCTCTACCTGTGTAAGGGCATGTAATTAATTTCGAGCAAGCTTATTTTATTTCCATTTTTGCATATACCATCAGGGCTTACACAAATCCAGGGCACTTCATTACAAATGATAAGCATCGATTATTCTAATATTTTTTAAGCGAAAATAAATTTTTTTCAGTTTTTTCAAATTTAATTCCATAATCAGTTGCAGTTGTTTCCTTGGATGTATTATTTAAAAATCTGAAAGCCAATTTTTCAAAATTGCTTTTTCTTGTTTTTATAGAATGAACCACAGAGCTGCTTATTAATCTGTATCGTTTGTAAATGAACTAGTCTGAACATCTGCTTTGTTTTCTTGTGAGATAGGCTATTTGAGTAATTTTTGGAAGTGTGATAATCACATTATCATTATAAAATTTTAACAATTTTTCTGAAATGATAAAGCTGAAAAAAAAGTTAATTCATTTAAAAATGTTGTTTGTAGGTTGTTTTTCAACAATTTTATAACAATTATTCATACGTTTACTTTCAAATAATGGTGTAATTAAAGATTTAAAATATCTGATTTAATCATGTGTTGATTAAATCAGATAACAGCGCTTGGCATTGTTCATATCATCGAATTTAGCTTTCAACATTAAATAAAGAGCACAATTAAAGTGTTTTTCTCTTTACAATTAAAGTGTTTACTCTTTTGATATAATAAAAATGTTGGAGCATTTGATGATAACAATGCAGATATTTATATCCTTTTTGGAATTACAAAATTACTAAGGCGACATCCATCTGATGTGTATATCTTGTATGAAAATTTCACATTGTTGTTTTCCACTGGTAACACTTTCGCTTTTATAATTATTTAATGCAAAAATCGTCGCTCCTACATGTTTATACTGACCGTTGCACTTACACGTTGCTGTAACTATTTTTCTATCTGCTGATGTGTTATATAAATACTTGCGGCCAGGGCGGCGCGCGAGTAATTTGCATTTGTGTTCTATACAGTTTATGCATTTTTTTATTGTTCGCATGAACAATAAAAAATTGCAGAAACTGTATATAAGTTTAATAGTTTTAAGTGATAGAAGGTTTGCGAGGATTTGAGTTTGGTTGGACGTTCAAAGAGGAGAGAAGTTACGAAAACTTGGACAAATTGGGACAATGAAGAAGATGGAGTACAAATTTCAAGAAAAATGCCGACGTAATTTATGGACAGTCCCTTTTATCAGGTCCGGCCAGGGCAACATTTACTACGAGGCGCAAATGAAGTTTCACTTCGAAACGTCACTCTTTACAAACAACTACATAAAAACGATTCACTTATTATTGCAAATTAAACTACTTATTTTTAAATAATGTAAAAATTTATATGGTGTTCTAAAGCCTCACAGCTAGAGTCATTAGCTTCCAGGGAAAGTTTTACTTCGTGCCCTCAAAAATCTATTTAATACATTAAAATTCTGAGATTCGCTTCGCTGATTAAGCTTTTTGGGGTTTGCGCCCTTGGCACGTTTTTCTTTTTCCTGCTTCTAGGTATAAATCTTGTTCTTTAACATAAAACCAGTGCTGTGGAGTCGTGTAAAAATATATCAACTCCGACAAGGAGCGGACTTGTTATCAAAATAGACCCGGCAATTCTGATGTCATCACGTGACCTCAGAATAAAATATTTAATAAATAGTATTTTAATAAAACTAGAACGTAGAAATGTTTTTACTTTTGATCTCAGCACACCTTGAAATGTCGAGATGTGGAAAAGATTCATTTTTTTTTTCTGTAGGTATAAATGTTATACTTTGTGTCTGTGGCACGATTTTGTCCACTCTGTTTGAAGCCTAATAGCTTCTGTGCTTTTTAAATCTGAGTCGTATAACACAGAAATTAAGCTTTAAAGTGGTTGAACTAAATCGTTTCCCCATAGGCATTCTAACATATCAGGTGAGAATATTTTAACGGGTTTTATATAAAATGACAAAAAGCTTAGTTTTGAGGGTAAAGACGACTTTTTGTGAACGCTAATAAAAAGTAAAATAATTATTAAGTCTGACCACACTGGAAATTTGATGCGACTCCTTCTATCTCCCCATCCTGTCTTTAAAATTTAATAGCATTAATGCTGCTTTATACACAAGCTACTGCGCCAGATTTCGTTTCTTAAACTTTACCCATTCTGAGATATTAAACAATATCTCAGAATGGGTAAAGTTTTCCTTTAAAATCTGACGTAGTAGCTTGTGTATAAAGCGACATTAATGCTGTTTATTGCTGGATAAAGCTGCATTAATGCTGAATATTGTTTAATATCTCAGAACTGAGAAAAACAAATTAAAAGAAATTAAACAAATTAGAGTCAACACACATACAAAATAAGTTCTCCCTTTATCTGACAGTTTTTGGGTTCAGAAGGTTTTTCAACATGTAGATTTGTAAAATATTTTTGAGGACTCCTACGAAAACATTAAAACTCCGCAGACCTGCATGAAAGGTGAATGAAGAATAAAATTCAAGAAAAAGTTTCATTAGAAATAGTGTTACTATTAATATCCTTAGTTTAAAATTTAAATGAAACAAAATTGACTTGGTTGGAAATTTAAATTTCAAAGTTTGTTGTATTGAAAAGTTAGATTAAATCACTTTGTACAGTAATTGATTACACAAAATTTTTTAATGAAATATAACAGAGGCTTCACGCGCAGTTTTAAATGTTAATGCCGGAAAAGTTACGCAACTCCTCACTGCATATTTTTGCGGCAACGAGTTGCGTAACTTTTCCGGCGTAAGATTTTGAACGCGAAATCTAACAGCTTTAATTAATGAACTACAGTAGAGCGCCGTTTATCCGAAAGCTGGATATCCGAAATGTCCGTTATCCGAAAGCATTCCAGTCGGCAAATTTAAATATTCGCTAGTGCTGTGGCGCTGCAATCTTCGGCTATTTCTCGGGCAAATCAAATATTTTACGTTTTTGATACTAAATTAACATCCGAAGTATAACTTTTTATTGTTTTTATATTTTTCAATAAATTTATTTTGTTTGTACAAGATAAAAAAATAATTTTTAACGATACAATAGTCTTCGTTAGGCTTAACATCGACGAAAATTCAATGCGAAGCGACACGCAACGGAGAGAAATTTCAACATGGGATAAATTAATATATTTTTTCGTACATGATTCGTTATTCGAAAAATAAGTTATCCGAACCACCCCAGTCCCCAATTGATTCAAATAAACGACGCTCTACTGTACATTCATCAGGTAAGGTCATTAATTTTCTTTATTTTAAATATTGATATAATTTTCCTGAATAACTATACAAGTTTAAAATAACAACAATTATAAGCAAACCTCGTAATTTTTTGTTTAAGGTTTTGACATTTACTTTTGTTATTTCAATTTTTTTTATTGATAATTAATTTGGAAATATGCGGTGATTCGAAGTCATTGGCGAATGAAGAAAGAAATGTAATTAAAACTTTTAATTTATATGGAAATAAATAAAAATCTGTTTTATTATTTAGTTTTTAAGAACAAGAAATATTATAACATATTCCATTTCCATATGACTTGAGCATGGATAGCAGCCTAACACTTCCTTCTGCATGTAAAACAAAAACTTGTGCCAATAGTTATTCTGTTCACATTTCGACCAGCAGAACCAAAAATGTTAAATTTGCAGTCCACAGAAAATATTACAAGCGTGACCAACTCATAATATAGAATATTTTAATCTTGGTTAATGTTATTGTTAACGGTTAATGTTACGTGTTAATGTTAATGGACGGTTAATGTTACGTATGGTACCAAAATGACGGATTCCAGTAATCTCGATTCGGTGCCTTCGATGAAAACGTTGACAGAGAGAGCTCTCTAATAACACAGATGACGAAATATGCAAATTTGCTGAACGGCCGTGAAAAGTGGTTGTGAGTAAATATGCAAATCATTAGATATGACGTTGTAGATGACTATTTCTCGTGGAAATATGCAAATTAATAGGTAGTATGACGTTTACGATGGTTTGTCGTTGCATGCTGTGTATACTCTACGATAGTTTTCTCTATGACTTTTATAGAACCAAGTTATTTAGGTGAATTTTAATCCTAATTTTTTTAAAACATTACGATAATTGTTACTAATTTTTAATTTTTTATTTAATAGTAATATGGTGTTAATGAGTTTTGTAGACATCAGTTCAGACGAATTTCGGGCCGGTTCTACTGTACAACATGTAAATTTTAGCAGTTAATGGAATCGGAATATTTGGAATTAGGTTTGGAACTAAGTATTGATAATGCGTTTAAATTTGCTTTAAAATTAGGATTACAAACAATCGATGGTGTGTGCAGTTTATGTTCAAAAACGTGTAAAATATACCATCGAAGTGATAGAAATTCGTGTTTAAGATGTAGCAATTGTAGAAGGGAGTATTTAGATTATGATAGAACCTTTAAGGACAAATGTGGCAACATTTCATGGGGTGGAATTTTGTAGTTCATATGGCATTACCATCGTTTGGAATGCACGTCAACAAATTCGGCTGTTGCTGCAGCCTGCAGGTATTTCAAGAAGGCAGGCATTGATTGGTCAAACCACATACGTTAAGTGATAGTTATAGCTATGAATAACATGACCTCATTTAAAATTGGAGGTCCTAATAAAACCGTCAAAGTAGATGAAACAGTAATATGCAAACGCAAATACGAAATAGGGCGTATACTGAAACCTACAAAATGGGTCGTAGAAGACAATAGTTGCTTCATTTATCAAGTGAACGACAGATCTAAAACCAGGCTAAATTGGGTTGTGTCTAAATTTGTAAATTTTGGTAGTCTAGCTATAACCGACGAATGGAAGGGATATAATCATATAGACGACATTGAAGTAATAGATATTGAACATAAAACAGTTAATCATTCAAAAAACTTCGTAAACCCCAAAACGGGTAATCATACTCAAAACATAGAAAGGTTATGAGGTTATTTAAAAAATAAAAAAAATTACCAAAGCATTACACGGATGATCTTTCGAATTCATACATGTATTCCTTTATATATAAGAAGTTCATAAAATGGCCAGCTAGAAACCCCGGAGAAAGATGTCAAATATTCGTAAAACACTTGAGTATGACATATCCGGTACCGAAAAAACACCTTAATGGATAGAACAAGAGTGTGTTCCCGCCGCACCGGTTTCTAATATAAAAAAGAAGGAAAAACAGGCCAATACAACAAAGAAATTGACTAATAAGCAAAGAAAAGAACTTCCACAGGTGCTGATGAATCGTCTTCGTCAGGGAAAAAACGTAGGAAAGGGAAAAAAAAGGATCACTAACATTGAGTAATAATTTCAATAATCTACTATAATAAGTTATGTTAGTTTAGGACACGTGGGCGGTCCGTTCGAACCATCGTTTATCGCGCAGTCTCGAGAAGAGTTCGAAATGACGACCCGAAATTCCGCCATTTTAGCACCATAGGTGAAAATAACCCGTTTTTGTTCAGGAATTTATTCCTGGAAACGATTTAGACCATTTGTAAGGTAGAGGAAGACAATAGTGCAGTGGTCAAGGCACTCACGTTTTGTGAACGAATACTATTTTTGATTTTTTTTTTAGGTTCAAGAACTCGAGAATAAAGAAAAATAGAAATTATCTTTTTGAATAAATGAAGATGAAGAAAAAAGAAGAAACTTTGGAATAAACTGAGCTAAAATTACAGCGAAAGAGTCTTTTCAAGCAAGGTAAAAAGGCACCAACTCGAAATTCTTTTGTGAGTATTAACGATTTTCTTATTTTTTACATCCATAATTCTAATCCTTAGCGCTAACGGTTAGACACAGTCATGAAAAGAAAGTTTACTTAACATTTGTAATGTATATATAAAAGTTTTATTTCAATAATTGATATTTTATAGATTTAATGTTTACTTAACAATAAGAATATCGGCTTATTATTACGTTAGATATTTACATTTTATTCAGACTTAATCGAATTTATTTTTTATAATGTGATTAATCAATTTATATAGAATTAGATGTCATGTTATTCAACTAGCTGAAGTTATTAACGGACACCGTTGTAATTTACATTTTAGGGCTTATCACACAGCAATCGAGTATACAATTATTTACAATTGTAACAAATTAATCTAAAAGTCATCTGTTGTTACTGACGCTCGCCTCTTCAATTTCAACCTCTTGTAGTTCTGACCTTGTTAATAGTTCGGAGTCGTCGTTAAATGTAGACATTATGACGTCATAGAAAGGGTGTGTGTTAGGCTGTGAGCTATACGGAATATGATAGAATAGTGTTTTATTCTTTTGATAATCATTCAAAGTGATACCTTTTTATAGTTTGGAAAAGGTATTTTACTCGTACTGTTAGTAATTACTTTTCCGGCTGTTATCTATAACAGGAGAAAACTTATGGCGATCGGTCAAGAAATGACCCTTCCAAGATTTTTACTTTTTGGACTCGAAATTTTAAAACTTCGAGAAATACAAATAATTTTTTCACCCTGTTTGAAGCTTAATAACTCTTGTGCCTTCCTCGTATTGTCGAAAATTTCTGAAATTTTGCAATGAGGTTTGTGCATTACGGGGATTAAAACTGCTAAATTTTGACGGTTACAGGAAGTGAAGAGATAAACTGATATCGTGTCATATCTCGAGAAGGGTCACACTTAATTACGATTTTACTCGTAATTAGCTTGTCCAATATTTTATAATAAGTAGCCTACTCTCAAAATTAAGTTATTTGCCATTTTATAGTAAGTACATATAAATGTTTCATTCTTAAAGCCGAATTATAATTACCATAAATTTCGATCAGTACCCGAGAGAGGTAATTTGCTCACCATTCTGGTTTTTTAAACATAACTGTCGGTAGCTTTATGGCTGTCCGTAAATGATGTTCACACTGGAACGGAGGGAGGGGGTTATTACAAGTCGGACAAAGTCGAACATCGGAAAAGAAAGGGGTTGAACGTTAATGGAGATTCGTTTTATTTCATTAAATTTTATTCAGTTTATGCGGGATTTTTCCTTTTTATTATTATTCATACAGTGAGAAAAGTTTTGCGAAGAATTGAGTTTTGTTCGACGTTTAAAGAAAAGAAGGGTACGGAAACTTGGACAAACTGGGACAATAAAGGAGAAGAAGTAAAAAATTGAAGAAAATGCAGATGTAATTTTTGCGCAGCTCCTTTTATGAGGTCAGGCCTGGGCTCCGTAACCACGAGGCTCAAGTGGGGTCTAACTATAAAACTTCAAAGACTTTTCACAAACAGCTACATAAAAACGGCCCAGTTATGATTGCAAATGGAAGTACTTATTTTTAAATACTAAATCTATGATTTAAAAATTAGAGGCCCGGAAAACTTTGTACAGTGTTCTGAAGTCTCGCAACTAGGGTTATTAGTTATACTGCATTCAAATACTGATATTCGCTTCACTGATTACGTCCCTTGGGGTTTGCGCCTCTAATAACAATTTTAGGCAATTCTACGTAACAATGGCAATGGAACAGATTACATTTATTTCAATTTAAAATTTAGTTTCACCAAAAGATTGAATATTTCAATATCTTGTTGGATTGGCTTTTATTTTTCCAGCACAGTGTTCAATCCGTTAGGCAGAGATCGTCTATTAATAGTTTTTTTGTGGTGTTCACCAATTTTTTGATCATTGTTGTTCAATCGTGCTTTTCACTTCATTTCTGTTACTAACTTTATGTCCCAGAATTTTTCAATTTTATTTATTCTAAAAGTATTCGATTATATTTAGGATTAAACTCTGTCTGTGACTCAATCATTTTTTGGCAAGTGTACAGCAGCAACATTGTAAATTTCCACGCATATTTTATTATTAAACATATGCTTTCCATCCCCATAGACTATCATTTATGTCCAAACCATAACACTTCCTTCTCCATGTTTAAGGAAAAGTGTATAGAATAACAATTGTGCCAATTGTTATTCTATTCACAGTTCGATGAACAGAGCCAAAAATGTTAAATTTGCAGTCGACTGAAAATTATTACATGCTTTAACGAGTCATAATCTTTTATTCTCTGTTTCATATACTAGGTAGTTAGTCAATGTAGACGTCTGCAATAACAATTCCAATTTACACTTATTTTTTACATATTATTTGCATTCTGTATAGATATTTTTCGTGTAGACATCTTTTTAAAAAAATTTTTATAAAATTCACGAACTACACTTCATCATATAAATTTAATAGTATTTTAATAAATGTTTATCTGTAAATATCCTGTACAGTTGACCCACCTATAAGACGGTAAATACGTTCCTGTTTTTATGAATCCATTTGTTACGAGTCTAGCCAATCATAGCCCGGCACGTATGCTGTTTACGGACTACGGCTGTTTGAAAGGTTTCTTTTATAAAATTCATCGATTCTAGACTGATTCGACTCAACATTTCCAAAATATGTATAATTTTTTGGGAATAATCCGTATAAACTATACTATAAACAAAAAATTGTAGGATTACTTACCGAGTGTGCACCGATAGACTACGTCGTTGCTTAAGCTTGTTTTCGTCACGTTTGCCGTTGAATGGCGCTCGCGTGCTTTCTGATAAATTATTCTTTTTGCGAAAAATTCGCTGAACTTTGGCGACATCGTTAATATAAATATAATTTTTATGGAAGTTAAATAATAAATTGTTTATAGTAGGTTCTCTGCTCGTTTAAACTCAACTGTTTGTGCAATCCTGTTGTGACACTAGTCGGCGATGATGTTTTAACGAATTATAGGAGCTTTTTAGGAATCCGACCTATAGGAACCCGCGTTATAGGGGGTCGACTGTAATTAAAAATAGAATTTATATAAATTTTAAATGATTTAGCGCAGACAATAGACATTTTAATCACTTTATAATATGCACATTGAATATGAATTTGTCTGATATTTAATTAAAATCGCTTTATTTTTTTATTTAGCCAATCTTCACCCTGCAAATACAAAAACAAACTAAAAACGAGAAGAACGAAGTTCAATCTTGCAAGAATGAAATCCACGATTTACAAGAAATTCTATTTTGCACGTTAGAACGTTATCAGTTTTTCTTATCGAGAAGTTATGAGGAAAGTATACTTTAAATAAGTGTTTAAAACACAATTTTTCATTTAATAACAGCAATGATTAAGACTATCTATAAAACATTCTAATATTAAATTTATTATTAATTATTATTAAATTATTAAAAGCAATGTAAAATTAAATTTTATGCAATTTATTTCATGTGTGTTGTTATTACTTTCAGTTGTTCTTTGCACAAAACAGTTTTGAAGAAAATATTTTCCAAGTTTATAAGAAAAATTGAATGTTGGATGCATTGCTTTACTTACATCGGTGCCCTTTGTTTCAAAAGAAGATAAAGGTCTACTGCAAGGATAGAAAAAGAAAATTCATGAAGACATAAAGACATTTAAAAAATATTTTACAGAAATTGTTTAGGCTACTTTAATATGTCATCCCTAATTAGCTGTTGTTGAAAATATTAATAGCATAATATATTTATAAACGAATATTATCATCTCTAAAATTATTTTTGTGTGTGTTTTGTTACAGAAATATTCTTTTAAATATAGCAATGATTATTGAATTAAATATTATTAATGATTTAATTATTGTTCTTATGTAAGAAACTTTTTATTATATCGATAAAATATTATTTATGACAATTTTTTTAATTGCAGACAAAAGGAACAAAAAGAAATTTTCATGTAAACACTGTAAGAAGAATTTCAAAACTAAATATCATTTGCAAAGGCATGAAAGAATCCATACAGGAGAAAAGCCTTACAGTTGTGACGAGTGTAAAAAGAAGTTTGCGGACAAGTCGAACTTAATTAGACACCTTCGGTCTTACAACATACAAAAGGCATATAAATGTTATGTCTAGAGATATTCATTTCAAACTACGATTCAAAAATACGTTAGAATATTGACACTTGGAACTTTTGAACGAATATTATTTTTAATTTCTACTGATGTATAATGATCGAAAGATGTAAGCAAAACTGGTTTTAAATTAGTGATGCTTTTTCATTTTTTTAAAAGTTGCAAATTTAAAAGCATTATAGTATTTAATATATATATGTAAAACTTTTTTAAATAAAGAATTATTCCATAGATAGTTTCTTGTATTAATTACGGTTAATCTTAATTTATTCGATTATTAATTAGAACAGTACGTATTTTGTTATAATTCATAATTCAGGAAATCCTCGCACATTCGAACAGTACTATTTGTTCCCGCCGCAGATATACAAAGTTACATATTAAGGAATTCTGTTAGTTCGAAATTGGAAGTGAAAATTTTGTTCTAATTGCAACGTCGTTTGTTTAGATGGAAGTGACTCCAAATCACATTAAATTATAAAGTATATTGTTAACCTTCGAGCAATAGTAAAAACTGTTGAAAAATAATCTTTATGCATATCACGTGTTTCATATATCTATATGTAGGAATAGTGATAGAACTAGAAATGACAGTAATCTTCCAGCGTTCGTAACCATCTTCAAATTGTGGATAGAACGATAATAATGTGGCATCCGTAAGGTGTTTAGTTTAGTTCGCGTTGTCACCAACTGTTGTCTCCTTTGCAACCTCTCATTTATTTTCTTTACAGTTTAAGAATGATAACTCGTCCAACCTCCGCATTCGGCTGACATCGTCCCAGTTAATTAAATTAATAACTAGTGTACGTCGTAGGATGAGTTCGAACAATATGCTATAGATTTTAACAAAAATAATCTTTAGATATCGGTAATAAAAAATGGTTCAGCTCTCCGAGGTCGATGAGTGAAGTTTTCTCACGCGAAAACGTACGTCCTCACGACCTAATGTAGTTAATAGAGAGGTTGATGCGCACGTATTTAGCCCAAAACGTGTACGGCGAACGGTTGAGCGCCGCCATCTGGCAGTTGTGGACCGTCGATAATGGCGTTCGCTACATGTAGTAAGGTGAGTAGACTATCGGCTTAAACGTCTTAATTTTTTTTGTGTTTTGGGTTAAAATTATGATTTATTTTATTAAAATGACGATTATTTAAGCATTTNAAAACAGATTTCGTTATTTTTTAATCACATTATTACAACTTTATATTAATACCCGAATTGTTAATATAATTAAAATGTCTTTATGTAAAACTTTTTAGAATAAAAAGTCGTTGCATCGATACTTGCTTGTATTAATTATAGTTAAAGTTAATTTATTCGATCAGTAATTCGGAGAGTGCATATTTTGCTGTAATTCATAATACAGGAAATCCTTGTATATTCAAACATTATGAGCACGTCCAAAATTCGTCTCATTTTTTCACAGATAAACATTGTCGTGTTCTAGTAAGTGTTTTTTCTTTGTAAGCCATTTTTTACATCTGAAACGAAAACATTTTGTGCAATAAATCAATTTAAATTTTTTGGATTGCAATTTGAAAACATCGTACACTAATAAATTCCTACTGTTTTTTTTTATTTAATCTCGAAAACGATATCAGATACTATTGATGCAAGTCAAGATTAGACATAAGAATCTTAGTGGCAGGGGGATTCGATAAACCAGGGGCAGACTGGCCCTAAAATTTTTGTGTGGAAAATTTATCATCAGCTCAGCCCATAAATAAAAAATATATTTTTTATTTACGGGCTGGGCTGCCCATAAATAAATATATATATTTTTTCTATTTCTATTAATTATATTCAAAATACAACATTGATAAAAATTACAATAAGCACAAGTCTGTATTCTACAATATTAATTTTTTGTTTAGAAGTTTGCTTTGTTGAGCAATAATATTAACCAGTTTCCCATTGAAGCGGGGTGAGGTCCTGGCCTCACACTACAAAATAGATTATTTTTAATTAAATCGTTTGGAATATAGAGAAATTATTATTGAATAACATTTTATACTTATCTAAAATAAAGGAAATAATATAAGTGGCCATTAAATTTGTTATGACTACAATTATCGCTTTGGTGGCTAGGTACAAAATTAATAACTCGCATTTCCATATTTTACCATTAAGATTCATAGGAGCGGTGAATAGTTTCTAGTAATATAAACAAATGACCAATTTTCTCTGTTTAGAAAGTAGTTTTGATTATTTTTCTCCCAGGATGCTTTCTGTTTGGGACGAATCGAGCTGATGTAGTGTTAGACTCAGATCGGCCAAACTAATTTAACTTCGGATATGGGTACAGACGTGTAAAATGATACATGCCTACACATATACAGTACCTATACAGTCAACCCCCTATAACACGGTAGATACGTTCAGGGCCGGATTAACCCACTTTGGGGCCCTAGACATTTTTTTCTTACCTGCTCTCTCCCCCTCTCACAAGAATTAGAGCACAAAAAAATGTATAAATCAATAAATAAAACAAAACTAAATAATGTGAAAAACTAAAACAAATCTTAAATTTTTATTAATAAAAAGTATTTAATACACAACAATAAATGTTTTAATAACAATAAATGGATAAAATTATTTGTTTAATAAATGCATCATCAACAACTTTTTCTTCAGGTTGAGATTCCGTTTCTTCGATTTTATCAGATACAACAGATACTCTCTAACAGGTTCTTTTGGTGCATGATCTGTTCTCTGATATCTTGAAATCAATTGACTTAATAATTTGACTTTACTATCATCAGATAAATCACCAATCTCGAGTAATTCTTCAATTTTATTACCAATTCTTATTTCAGGTTTTTGATATGCTGACAACAATTCAGGAGGGACAAAAGCCATTTGCTTCGCCATTAGATTTTTTTTCCTATTGCCTTACCAATTAGTCCACCTACCATAGACAATAACAAAGCCAGTAGAAGTGGAAGGAATCCACCCGATTGATTAACTAAAATTTTTTTCTTAGCATTTAAAGGAACATTTTTTCCACTTAATTTCCTGATAATTTTTTTATATTTTTGTAATTTACAAACATCAGCAGGTATATTTCCTCTCCGCAAATTATCACATATCTCACAAAAAACTTTAATTTGATCAGGAGTAGCTTCTTTCAATATTGCTTTTCGTTGAGAAGGAGTAGTCTTAGACAAAAGTGCTAACATATGATAATTTTTTTTACATTCTTCATTTTATTGGTAAGTATATCCAAAAAATACCTTGTTAGTCGGGAAAACACGAATCTCTCACAGAAAATTTCTTATTCGTTTTAGGATGAAATCTAATAACAAATAACCAAATTCCTTCTCTGTTGCTTTTTTATATGCATCCATAAAAAAATCGCATTTACCAGGAAAAGCTTGCCGCCCCTAACAACTTACTTGACTCTCATCTCGATTATTTTTTAATAATATCAAATAATGCGTGTTTAAAGTTATATCTCTCATAATTCTATTTTTTGGAAATAAATTTTGCATTATAATTATCACGCTTACATTATAATGATGATACTCTGTTGTAAACAAAGATGCAGTTTTTGAACTGAGTTCATGCATCCAATCATCAATTATTATTAAATCCCATCCTTGCACGGATTCAGGTAAACCATACATGAATGTAATATCTCTTTCCTCATGAAAAAATGGTAAATATATGGAATAACACCATAGAACCTTTTTTAATGTCTTTTCATAAATTTNATGAGTGTAAACAGAAGTTTACACAAAGATCGACCTTAATTACACACCTCTGAAAACACACTGGAGAAAAGCCCTACAGTTGTGATGAGTGTGAACAGAGCTTTACAACTAAACAAAGATTGCAAATTCATGAAAGAATCCATACAGGAGAAAAGCCTTACACTTGTGATGAGTGTAAACAGAAGTTTACACAAAGATCGACCTTAATTACACACCTCTGAAAACACACTGGAGAAAAGCCCTACAGTTGTGATGAGTGTGAACAGAGCTTTACAACTAAACAAAGATTGCAAATTCATGAAAGAATCCATACAGGAGAAAAGCCTTACACTTGTGATGAGTGTAAACAGAAGTTTACACAAAGATCGACCTTAATTACACACCTCTGAAAACACACTGGAGAAAAGCCCTACAGTTGTGATGAGTGTGAACAGAGCTTTACAACTAAACAAAGATTGCAAATTCATGAAAGAATCCATACAGGAGAAAAGCCTTACACTTGTGATGAGTGTAAACAGAAGTTTACACAAAGATCGACCTTAATTACACACCTCTGAAAACACACTGGAGAAAAGCCCTACAGTTGTGATGAGTGTGAACAGAGCTTTACAACTAAACAAAGATTGCAAATTCATGAAAGAATCCATACAGGAGAAAAGCCTTACACTTGTGATGAGTGTAAACAGAAGTTTACACAAAGATCGACCTTAATTACACACCTCTGAAAACACACTGGAGAAAAGCCCTACAGTTGTGATGAGTGTGAACAGAGCTTTACAACTAAACAAAGATTGCAAATTCATGAAAGAATCCATACAGGAGAAAAGCCTTACACTTGTGATGAGTGTAAACAGAAGTTTA